GCGGCCGAATAGCTTGGCTCGGCCCTGTCATTTACGTACCTTACTTTAAATTATTCGTTTTGTACCTAATAATTAAATATTATACCCATTAATAATTTTCTTTTTACCTTGGTGGAATAACTAATTTGAATTTTAGGCTAATAGATAACTGAATATAAGTAAAATTGTTTTATTAAATGAGTGGTTTTTTGAAGGTAGCACATATTAATATTTGTTCGTTGTTACCAAAACTTGATAATGTAGCAGGCTTTATTTTTGAGAAAGACTTTGATATTTTCTGTGTCAGAGTCTTGGCTAAAGCCGACGATACCAAATAACGTGATAAGCTTAGCTGACTATAAATTAGTACGACAGGATCGAAATCTAAAGTGTAGAGGTGGAGGTGTATGTATTTATTTAAAAAATCATTTAAGATTCACAGTTGTCGAATCTGACAAAAAAATCGAACAACTATGGATTAAACTTAAAATAAATAAATTAGTTTTAGGTATTTGTGTTGCTTATAGACCTCCTGACTATATACTTAATGATTTTATTGAAGTTTTTGAACAAACTGTAACAAATTTAGCTGCGGAATTTGATGAAATATTATGTTTGGGCGATTTCAATGTTGACCTGCTGAAAATGCACTCAACTAAAGCTAAGAAAATAAACTCCTTGTTAGAAAGTCATGATTTAATACAAATTATTGATAAACCAACTCATATAACTCCGACCTCTGAAACATTAATTGATTACTTAATAACGTCTAACCGTGACTTAATTAAATCATTTGGCGTTCTTCCCGCAGATCATATGACAAGTCATGAACTCATTTACTGCATACTTAATGTTTCTTCTAACAATTCTAAACATGTTTTTAAAATAGTAAGAAATTTTAAAAACCTTGATGAAGATTACTTTCTATGTGATTTGAATTCTATACCTTTTGACAACATTTTTAGCTTGAACAACATTGATGAGAAAATAAATCTCCTAAATAATTCAATCATTTCGCTTTTCAATAAACACGCACCCTATAAAAAGATAAGAATCACCAAAAAATATAATCCTTGGTTAACAGATAACATTAGGTATATTATGTCATTCAGAGATAAAGCGAAAAAAAGATGGCAAAAAAGCAAAAAAGTGAGTCACTTAGAATACTACAAAATGTTAAAAAACTATACTACTTTAGCCTGCAAAAATGAAAAAAAAAGCATATTTTGAATACAAATTAAGAGTAGGAGGTATTAATAATATGTGGAAAAATTTAAAACATCTAAACATCGGAAAAGAGTCACATACTATACCCAATACCTTATGTAACCCCACCAATTTAAATAAATATTACACTTCATGTATTCCAAACTTACCTGCAGATCGAAAAGTCCTTGATAGTTATCTTAACAATATCCCTTCGCGTGACAAAGTTTCTTTCACTCCAGTTACAAATGATAGAGTCCAAAAACTACTGTACTCAATCAAATCAAATGCTCAAGGTTCTGATGGCTTAAATATAAAAATGTTGCTTCAATGTTGTCCCTTAATAATTCCCTATGTCTCACATATAATTAATAGTTGCATTAACAAACAATACTTCCCTAGAAACTGGAAACAAGCACTTATCAGACCTGTCCCAAAAACTAGTAATCCAACCGAGTTTAAGGATCTAAGGCCCATTAGTATTCTCCCAACTCTCTCAAAGGTACTTGAAAGAATAATAGAAGAACAAATTCGTATCTACTTATCAACTCATAATATTTTACCAGAATATCAGTCAGGATTCAGACCATCTCATAACTGTGAAACTGCACTTCTTAACGTAACCGATGATATTTTAAAGGCTAGGGATGATGGTAACATTTCGGTTTTAATCTTAATAGACTTTAGTAAAGCATTCGATACCCTTAATCATTCCCTGCTGTGTGCCGTACTTCATTATATAGGATTTTCGCCTGATGCCGTAGGTCTGATAAAATGTTACTTAAGTGATCGAAGCCAACGTGTTAAAATTAATGAAATTATTTCTGATTCTATGAGGGTACGATCTGGAGTTCCTCAGGGATCTATATTAGGACCTATACTATTTACTCTCTATACAAAAAATATCGGAACAGTCTTAAAATCTTGCAAGGCTCACCTATATGCCGACGATACACAAATTTATAGCTCTTTTCATCCAAACAATATTTTACATGCCACTGACCTTATCAACCAAGATCTCAAAAACTTAGCTATGTGGGCAAAAACACATGCTCTTAGCATTAATTCGAAAAAAACGAATGTTCTTGTCTTTGGCCCTAATAAATTTTGTCCTGACTCAATTAAATTAAATTTTGAGGGTGATATAATAAAACCCGTAAACAGCGCCAAAAACCTTGGTATAGTCATGGACAATCAGCTCAAATTTAGCAGTCATATTAATATATGTATTCGTAACGCCTTCATTAACTTAAACACAATCTACATTAATCGTCATTACCTGTCATTTAATGTTAAAAAAATTCTGTGACTCGTTGGTTCTATCAAAATTTAACTATGGAGATGTCCTTTATGGTCCCTGTATTGGGTCAGATGACAAAAGGAGAATTCAGGTCATGCAGAACTCATGTATTCGTCTAATTTGTGGAATTAGAAGACGACAACCTATATCCCATAAATTAAAAACTTTGAATTGGCTAAATATGGAAAAACGAAGGTTACTTCACGCTGCTTGTCTATTCCATAAAGTCATTAAAAACCGCTTACCTGTTTATTTATATAATAAAGTTAAATACGGTTCTGATACGCATTTCCTAAATACTCGATATAGGCACAGAATAACAGCTCCCCCTCACCGCACAGAAAAATATAAACGCTCCTTTACATACCAAATATCAAAAATATATAACGCTTTACCTAATGAATTAAAATTCAAATCTACACCCGCATTCAAAAAATCACTTAAACATACATTTTTAAACGAGTAGTAACTCATCTTTAATCATGGAAAATTCCTCTTTAAAAAGTCACTAATCGTCTATCGCGTTATTTGGTAATAGTTGGTAATAGTTGGTAATATTTGGTAATATTTGGTAATATTTGGTAATATTCTAAAAAATAAATATTCCTTCATATTATTTTCTAATGTTTCTGATATTGCTAATTGAAATTGTTTTATTTGTTTTTTTTTTTTTTTTTAGTAATTAGAAATTAAGTTAATTTTAGTCATTGTTACTACTGCTTAAGATGAAAAACAGAGGCGATGATTTCATTGAAATTATCGTCACCTGATCTTCGGCATGAAAGGAAAATAAAGACCTTTATTATTATTATTATATTCCTACTTTTACTGCACTTCTCTTTTTAACCGACTTCAAAAAAGGAGGAGGTTATCAATTCGTCGCGATATTTTTTTTTTTTTTTTTTAATGTATGTTCAGCGATAATTCTTTAACACGGTGTCCGATTTCAATAATTCTTTTTTTGTTCGAAAGGGGCTACTTCAGGGGTGGTCCCATATAAATTTGGTCAAAATCTAAAAATTGGGTCCATGAGAAAATCCTCAAACTCTTCATTTTTTATGTATGTTTAGCGATAATGCTTTACTACCTTGTCCGATTTATATGATTCTTTTTTTGTTAGAAAGGGGGTACCTCAGGGGTGATCCCATATAAATTTGGTTAAGATGTTGTGATGGCATCTGCACGTTTTTGAAGTCGGTTTTTTTAAATTTTTAATTTACACTTGTTTATTAACCGACTTCAAAAAAGGAGGAGGTTATCAATTCGTCGCGATATTTTTTTTTTATGTATGTTCAGCGATAATTCTTTAACACGGTGTCCGATTTCAATAATTCTTTTTTTGTTAGAAAGGGGCTACTTCAGGGGTGGTCCCATATAAATTTGGTCAAATTCTAAAAATTGGGTCCATGAGAAAATCCTCAAACTCTTAATTTTTTATGTATGTTTAGCGATAATGCTTTACTACCTTGTCCGATTTATATGATTATTTTTTTGTTAGAAAGGGGGTACCTCAGGGGTGATCCCATATAAATTTGGTGAAGATGTTGTGATGGCATCTGCACGTTTTTGAAGTCGGTTTTTTTAAATTTTTAATTTACACTTGTTCAGACTCTAGTGTCCAAGATCATGCATACGGTTCTGTAAATTACTGAGATACTGTTGTACTAAGATGACATTATTTAAAATAATTTAATTTGCAGTTGAATAAAAATTGATTTTATCACGGTCGCTCAAATTTTCCCATGCCAAGGTTGTCTTCTTCACAACTCAGGTGTGCACATTTACAACTGTACGAACTTTATATAACAGGGTGGATCCTAAGTTGATTCTTTTTTAACTGTGTACATAAAATAAACTTTTTCCTATTATTTTTTCAAAAAAACTTAAAAGTATGTAACGTTTATTTATTTAGAACAATTTATTAATTTTAATTTATGTTCACTAAATATACTAATATATTTTATAAATAATGTATTTGTACTCCTAAATATTATTAATAATAATAATAAATAAAATATTTATGTACACAGAACGATCTATTAGGTTTAACTGACTCAACTAGTAAAACTTTTGCTGTTTATCTAAAAATGTGACGCTTTTGAACATTTCAGATCGGTGCTTCCACCATTTTCTAGAGCAATGCATTCGCAAAAATCATTGTTTAGGCGCTGCCTTCAATTTATCAAATTAGTGATCTACTGAAATCAGACGATTGAATTACAAAATGTGGTACATAAACAGACTTATTAATTCGTTTAACTTTTCGTACACAAGTCCTGGACTGGATTTAGATTTTATTACTTCTGTATCTTTATTATTTTTGAGTTTTTAAAGAAAGTTATTTAAAAAATATGTTTATTTTAACGACTTCTATTCATAGTTACAAAAAGAATTAATTTAGGATTCACCCTGTATTTGCTTTCAGTCCCTGGGTTGAAAGTGTCCCGGTATATAAAATATAACTCTTTTTGGTTTACATTTTCTCTTCTGGAGTTCTTTATTAGTTTTTACTTACCTAATTTAGTTGTAATGAAAATATCTTTTCTGGTAAGATTGTGTTTCGGTAAGAGGACTTTTAAAGCTTTGTCTATGGACTCTTCGTTTCCGTATACTTGAGCAGTATCTGAAAAACAAAAAAAAAAATATTAATTCGAACAAAGTCTACTTAGTGTTGGCCAGATTTGTATATTTAAATAATTAAAAAATAATTGGACCTTTTTTTATTACAAATTACATTACATGAATTAACAACAAGTATTTTAGGAAACGTTATTTAGCTTCGCTTGCAAGACCATCGACATATAGGGTGTCTCAGAAATATTTTCGTTTATTAATCCGTTCGCTGGTGCAATAGGCACATTCTCGAGAAAGAAGGAAGTTTGCGGAGGAAGGGCAATGGGGCAATTTACGGGGCTGCAACGTGCTTTTTGTATTCGTATGTTTTATAAAAACAATGATTCTTATATTCTTGTACATCGTTTGTACAGAAACCATTAGAACATAACAAGAATGAAAGATATCTCAAGTGCAAATTTAATTTTCAGTACCCTCTAACTTTCTTAACCAATATTTATTTAAATTTGCAGTTGTGACATCATTCATTCTTGCTATGTTATAATGATCTGTACAAACGACGCACAAGAACATAAGAATCAATGTTTTTATAAAACGCACGAATACAAAAGGCACGTTGTCATGTACGATGACGTTGTTGTCCCGTAACGCAAAGGGCTTCTTCCCCTTATAGAGCTTGATTTTTGCTAAAAATTTGAAGTTAATATCGTATTTTGTTTTTGAGGATGTGTTAATTATTTTAACCCCTCTTAACTACCCAATTTATTCAGATATTTTTCAGAATCAATAAAATCATCTTCTTCTTATGCAGCTTGATTTTTAATAAAAATGTTGATAACCGGTGTGAAGTTAGTAGCTTTTTGTTTTTGATTTATGATTTTTTTTAATTTCAACGCCCCATAATGGTCTAAGATCCGTTTAATGGATGAAAGTTTCTTTTTATTAAATAAAATGTATTTATAAATATACGGCGCAAATGGGTGGCCTAAGAAAATACGGTCCAGACTATTTATTTTCTTAAAGTAAAAAAAAACGACACCCTGTAAAGTATTCCCCACATGCTTCAACTATGCCCAAACTTTAATCTGCTCACTGCAGGGTGGATTAAAGCTTAAGTTTAAAATTTGGTGTTTTTCTCTTCATCCGTTTTTGGGTTATCTTTAAAATTCGAAATTTATCTGTACACAGAAAGGAAAGTAAAAAATGGCCGTGACCTTATTTTCTTAGGCAACCCATTTGCAGTATATTTAAAAACATATTTTATTTAATAAAAAAAAAATTATCCATTAAACAGATGGGTGAAGGTTGACCTTACTTACGGATCCTGGACTATAACCTCCCATTTTTAATTAGATTTTTTCAAAATCAATAGGCTTTGTCCCCTTATAGATCTTGATTTTTGCTAAACATTTCAAAATTATGTAGTTTTTTGTATTTGAGTTAGAATTTTTTTAATATTTCAACCCCCTTTAACTCCTTATTTTTATTCCGATTTTTTTTTTCAAAGTCAATATGCTTCGTCCTCTTATAGAGCTTGATTTTTCAGAAATTTTCAAATTGATATCGTTTTCACAGACTACCTACCGTGTGAAGAGTATAATTAGGCAATCCAATGTCCTGTTAACAAAGTTAATAAAATTCAGATTTTCATTAGTATTTGACTGTTATTGTAAATCATATAATTAATATTCATATTTTCCTAATAAATATTAGATTACCGAAAAGAACTTTAAACACTTCAAAAAAATAATAGGCAAACTTTATTAACCTCATTAGAAGTGTTTTTGTCAAGAGAAGCACGTACCTACCTTTGTTGTTTTTGCCAAGCGTCCACCATTTTAAGTCATGTGATTTAGATTGCCTAATTTAGTAGTTACTTCAGAGCTGAACAACTTTTACATTCACAGTTTTAGCATGAAAAAATAGTCTTGCTTCGAAAAAGCAAAAAAATAAGTTTTTGTGAAATTTATCGCCAGTCCAGTTCTGAATTTATTATCGTAGCGTAGTGATCCACTAATTGTGAAAACTATTGTTAACTACAACATGAAACATTTTCTACTATTACCAAGGGGATTTCGAAAAGTTTCTTTTAAGCTTCTTTAAGTTTTTTTCTGAAAACAACTCCTATTTTTCGCGTACTAATAACAAATAATCGAAAAAGACTTGTATTGGCCACAACTTAAAATTAATTTAATCTATAGTCATAACCTACATTTTTAATTCTAATAGTATTTCTGTAAAATGTACTTACCGATAAGACGATAACCTGATCCCAAGACGTGGTCAAGAACTTCTTTAATTTGAGCGTCTCCTTGAATTCTAAATGTTCCAACTGCGAAGAAAACACAATTGTTTTTTTAAGATTATTAAGTAAATTATTAATAAATAAACAGGGTGTGATAGGAAATTATAAATACAGGTCTCATAATATGTACATAGTCTTCAACAATACCTATATCCCACGTGACAAAATTGATGTCACCAGTTGGCTGAAAGTAACATTAATAACTTCAGTAGTAGGTTGATAGAACTGATACTTAAGTTGTTATAAATGTCACTAAGATCGACTATTTTTATTAAATTTATTGTTTTATCAGATAGTTGAAGATTCGTTACATATTTTTTTATAATTTTGATATATAAAGTGACATGTTTTGAAATCGGAGCAAGTTTCAAAATTATCTACTTCACGCAACCAGTTGCATAATGTTGAACGTTATGAATTTGGTTATGAAAAATTCATTATGTCACCAGTTGCAAAAAGAAAAGAGCTAAAAATAAACCTTTTTTGGTTTTAAAATCGATATATACATTTTTATTGAAAGTGAAGACTGGCGGATTGACTTGCAAAAAATCGAATTTGGTTAAACTTATAACCTAGTAATATTGTTGTTGTGGTCCTTATTTTCCATTCTAAATCAGCACAAAATAATTAAAATACAATACACAACAAAATTACCCACTTTCTTGAAAACTAAGCAATATAAGCACACTATCACAAGTCGTTGAGAATTAACTAATATGATTTTCTATTTGTCAATAAAATGAATGAAGTTATGCATATGCAACTAACAATACAAGAAAGTAATATTGGTTGCCTATATGTCAGTAATTTTTTACCACAACACAATTTTATAAATAATTTAGTCAAAATTAGAAAAAAATATTGTATGTAACACGTTACAAAATTCCATTCCATTCTAAATCAGCACAAAATAATTAAAATACAATATACAACAAAATTACCCACTTTCTTGAAAACTAAGTAATATAAGCACACTATCACAAGTCGTTGAGAATGAACTAATATGATTTCATATTTGTCAATGAAACGAATGATGTTATGCATATGCAACTAACAATACAAGATAGTAATATTGGTTGCCTATATGTCAGTAATTTTTTACCACAACACAATTTTATAAATAATTTAGTCAAAATTAGATAAAATTATTGTATGTAACACGTTACAAAATTCCATTTGATGTAATTCGTTCATTTTGCGGGACCTCGCTCTGCTCGTCCCGCAAATATTCACTCGTTACATAAAATAAGGCCTTTCGTAACTGGTTGCATAAATAGCTACTGTTTTCATAATTTTAATATCGGTTGTTTATGTTTATTACACCAATAATAAATAAAAGCTGAGAAAGTGTTTTTATTATGCCAAACTGATACCTGCCTATTTTAATATTGTGTTTAGGTATGTAGAATTACTACTGGTAATTATTACTCAGTGTAAAGTATGTTTTTTACTCGTTTTTATAAATAATTAAAAACTTACATCCCACATATGGCATCAAATCTCCAGAATGTAATCTAAAACGATCCTTTGATGTAACTGGTTGTTCATTATCCGCTTTACCAAAAGTTGCTAAAGCCACCAAATAGACACAAACTATTAATGAAAATTTAAACATCTTTGCTCACAAGTCACAAATTAAAGATATTTCTAAACAAAACCTCCTTTCCATAGGTATGTATAAGTATAAATTACTCTTCTGTTCTGAAACAGGATTTTAAGTGATACCTTCGATTCGTGTTTGTATGGAAATTTTAATAACTACCAGATTGAGATAGAGGTATTATGTAGATATAATTAATATTAAATGTTAGATATAATACCAGTGATCCGATGAAATCAGTAACGTAACAATAATTTTTCCGAAAAAGGGACTTCAATTTTTCTGTTTTTTTTTGTTCGCGTAAATCTAGTAGATGGGTAAAACATATCGGGTGTCCAAATAATAAAGGTCGCCTACTGTCTAAACTCATTTTACAGATTTGTCTATAACATTCCATAACATATATAAAAAAAATGACAACATTAACACGAGTTAACTTAATACGAAACAAACTAAGAAAGTAAAAAAAATATAAATATAAATAAAAAGAAAATATAATAAAATAAAAATAATCAACTACATATTAACCTGTAAGATTTTTATAGCTCTTTTAAAAGCAGGACGAGAGTTATGGACAATATCAGTATTATTCTTGTATTTGTTAGCTAAACGTAAAATTCTGGATATTGTTTCATTTTGTCCGTAGTTTTATATAAAAAACACAAGTCAAATTTTATTCGCCTATGCTCCAATGTTTGAATGTTTAATTAGAGAAGGATATTTTTATAATTAACATATATTCCGTTCATACTCATTTTGAGAGCACCAATATAGATATTATTCATTAGGTGTCGTAAATAAGATTTAAAGGAGATTTTTCGTTAAATGAAGGATTTTGAATTTAATAAGAATGGAATATTTTCTCTAACAAAATGGAATTAATAAATTATGAAGGTACCTGGGTGCGGTAGGTTACTAGTTAATTGTCATTATTAGTTAACAGTTAACACACTCTATTTCGATAAATTACGATAACCAATTGGAGTAGAATCATGGATTAAGAAAACAATTTTAATCCAAACTTTTTGAACACCCTATATTTAATAAAAAGTTAAGATTAATAATTATTTATTAATTTCAGTTTTAGTACTACTCAAACATGCAATCTATATACAATTTTATAAATGAGACCAAGATGTTATATGGACTTAATGGTCCCATTAGTTAATGGCCTTTTTAATATTGATTATAAAATTGGCTGTTAATAAAAATTTTCATTTTTAGAATTTCATAATGTACCGGGTGTTCCATTAAGAGAGGTTGCCGGCTATATTTCAGAAACTAATAATACTACACCTTTGGGAAAAATATATTTTTAATAAAAACGGTCAAGAGAAATTGCTGGAAATTATTTTCAAGTTTGCAGAATGGCCGCTAGGGGGCGTAATTGTGACGTCAAAATATAAAAATGTAATTTTCTCAAAAAATAAAATACCAACTAAAGTGTATTGATTAATAGTGTTATTCTATTCTGCAATGTTTTCTGAACAAAAAGCTTTAGGTTTAATTTTTATCAGTTGTGAAGTGGTGTGGCAAGGTTAAACTTTAATTTGGAAAAAGCTCATACCTCCGATTTGGCTTTACCGAATTAAGTAAACTTGATTTCGTTTAGAAGAGCTTTTTCAGTCTCATTTTTAGCTGTATAAACTGTGGCTGTTTACGTTATACGAATGCCGCTAGAGGGCGTTAAGTTAAAAACTGAGATATTTTACGAACCATTTCGAAAAATTTAAATACAACGCTATATACCTTTTTACATAGAAAAAAGGCCAAAACATCGGCGAAAACCGCATTTGGATATCTCTTTTCAAACCGCAGATTTTAGCAAAACTATAAATAAAACGTAGATACGTGACACATTTAATGACCCTGCATTTTCTACTTGGTCGATTTTTTAAGGTATATATTAAATTTATAAATTTCTGCAAAATCTTATGCCCAACCATGGTTTTTACCTATTTAAAATAATCGAATTATATTAGATAAGAATGCATAATTACTTATAGGTATAATAATCAATTGAGATGGAAGAGTTGCTTATCAAAGTTAAGTTCGGATAGACAAGTTCCATTCACTCCGTTAACTCTTTTAACTCCAAACGACCCTTTTAGCATTCGGTTTAGTCCGATTAGTGACAGTTCAACACAGTAAAGTTAACATTTGAGAAGGCAAGACCGAAACCGACTTCAAGCGACAGGCAGCAAGCAGCAAATCCTGCCGTGCTAAAAGTGCTGTCGTCGGTCGCGCCTTCCCAAATGTGTTTCATTTAATTACATGTGTTCAAACGTGAAGAGACCGTTTTCGATCTCCTTGGTTGTCGCTTTACGCTTGGCGCTTTACTCGATCTCGCCTTCTCAAATGGTACCTTTAAATGTCATTTATCAGTAATTGATAATGACTTGAGATTTAAACTTCACGCTAACAAGTGCATCCAAACAGCATACATGAATTTAAAAATGCTTTACCCATATCGACATGTTCTTCCAACTACAACAAAATTGTTATTAACAGATTCCCTGGTTCTGAGTAATTTTAACTTTTGTGATTCAGTTTATGGGCCCTGTTTAGATAACGCAGACATAATTAGAATTCAGAGAGTACAGAAATCTTGTTTAAGATTTTCTTATGGAATACGGAAATTTGATAGAGTCTCTCATAAACTCAAGGATTCAAACTGGCTAGATATGCAATCCAGACGAAACTTACACTCGGCTAATTTGTTTCATTCTGTTATTTTACATAAATCCCCTCCATATCTTTTTAATAAAATAATGTATCGTTCTGATGTTCATAACCTCAATCTACGTTTTTGTGGTCGTATCTCACCTCCAATACATAATACTGCTATTTTCAGACGGTCTTTCACTTATAATATTTATGCAATGTACAAGGTTATCCCACAACATTTTAAAGAAATGTCTGTAAGTAAATTAAAAAAATTTTACAAAAAGTTTCTTCTTGACACAGCAGAGTGATAGCTACTTTTTAGAATGTTTATACTTTTTTTTCTCACTATCATTTGTGTTTATATTTATATTGTTTTTTGTACGATGTCCTGTGGCGTTGGTAATACTCAGGGCTGGTGCTTTGATCAGTACCCACTGTTCACCAGTCCTTTTTGCAGCCTTCTTTGGCACTTTTTTTTTTCTGAATATTTTTATATGTATAAAAAACTGGAAGTTGCAAATAAAGTTTATTATTATTATTATTATTATTATTATTATTATTATTATTATTATTATTATTTAAAAGCACCCAGGCGCGGATGGGCCCACTGGAAAACCGGGAGATTTCCCGCTGGGTAGGTCTTACCGACGCCGATAATTATATCAGATTCTATAATATGCTGTCTTCTATTGAAGGTACGATATCTGAAACTCAAAGGATGGACCATTTTTCTAGTGGTTTTGTCAGATTTGTAAGAAAAACCGGGAATCATCTTTATTTCATTTTTAATCATTTGAAAATACGGCACGATATTATTAAAATAAAAATTCAATAATCTAGACCATCTAGATATCTTTGATTCATCTTTTTTCTTGGACGATATTCTTGGCTCGTAATAACTTTTGTAATCAAAGGTGATGAAATTTTTGTCGAAACGTGTATTCTTTCAATGACGCCGTAATTAGATTCATTATTTTCCAATTTTATTTGGCGGTACATATTTTGAATAAATTTTTGAGTTGAGGGTGACATTCACAAACCAACTTTTTGGTTATTATCATCCTCCTCCTCGTCAAATTCTTGTTTACTCTCAGAAGAAACTCTGATGGGTTCTGCTTAGAATTATGTAGGGTCAGTTGGGGTAAAAGCACATTGTTTGGTGTAAATGTTTTAATACAAATCTAAATAACAATATTCTAAATATTAACATGGAAAAATTCAATTTTAGTGTGGCAAAATGCATTTTTACGGGATAAACAAAAATTTAAAAAATATATTATTAAAATTTATCATATAAATGCCAATTGTTTGTTTCATTTAATTGGTTAAATGGTAATCTAAATAAAGTCTCATCTATTTAGTAGTAATTAACTAATAAAAATTTATTCAGCTTCTCACTTTTTTTAATAAAGTGTTCTCATGAAATTTTTACATTTTTTACATTTTCTCAGTATGTATTAATATTTTACCCCTAGTTATTGAGCAAAAAATTAACATTTTCCACTATAGAATTTGCTGGTAAAAGATAACCTTTTCTTTGTGAATTACCCTGTGTAGGTAAACAATAATGTAAACTGCCAAAGTCAACTTTGAACTGTTTTAAATTTTACAATTTATGTGAGTATTTAAATATGAATTTAGTTTTTTTTTGAGGTGCAACTGATCATACTTATTATAATTATTTACATATCTTTAGGGATTAGTTGGAAACAAAGAATATTAAGAAGTATACAATCGTAGACCAATATATTGTGACGATAGTCTAATTTATTTATAGTTTATTTATTTAAAACACACTATTTACAATTTTATATGACGTACTATTTCATTTATATAATACTTAGACACTAACTAACAATTCTTATTTATTTATCTTTTCATTACAATGCTCTATACTAAACTAAACTGCCTGACGATGAGTCGGCTATTTATACTAAGTCCAACTCTGCTACGAGAAGTCTCTAGACGCTCCCGAAAATTCCATCTCTGACTCAACGGCACACTCCACCCGTTCTAGCGCTTTCTCGAGCCTCAGTGACATTCCAAGAATATTCCGTCGCCTCGAGCATGAGTCGGCTGCCACAGACGTGAAGTCAGCTTGCTTAGACAGAGTCGGCTTTAGGAATTTAATGACATTGTCCCCTCCTTAAGAAATAGTTCCTCCTGGAATTAAAACTGAATGGTTGTATTTGCAACTGGATCCTCTTTTACATATTCCAGTTGCATGGAAGTAACAAGGGACAGTCTTCGTTATAACCTGAACGCTGGGAGAATGGCTGCAGACCTGTATTTCAACCTGGATATTTTGAAAGATTACTTCCACCATGTTTCTAATGATCCTCCAATTCAGCTGGTTGCTCTCTATCTTTGGCATAGCTAGTTTCTGTACATTAGGCTCTAGTACATGCTCCCTCAGACTGAGTAATGCTTCCCATACATCATGATAGGTGGATCGATCTCGGAAGGAGTTCTTTGTTACCAAATAGATCCATCTTGGAACTGGTAACTGATCTTGAAGTTCTGGCAATTGACCAAACTTCTTCCGGAATACAGATGCCAGACCTCAAGCGTCGTAGATGTTGGCAGAAGTGCTATGGACTAGCGAGTAGTCTTTTGGAACCGTGAGCAGGTCTTGTTGTTGCTTGGTTGTAACACCATGTCTTGCTTTTCCAATACCTCCATATATGCACCCATAAATTCTTCAAAGACAAGGTCAGGTGTTTCTTGAAGTTGGTCTTCCTCTTCATGGTCACCCTCTAATGGCTCCAGCCGGTTTTGGTGCACTACCTTTGGTTTACCGTTCGGGATTTTATTTATTCGGTAAATGACATCATTGATTTGGAATGGCGTACACTTCCACCCACTTCGTGAAATAATTCATAACCACCATCATGTATTTATTACCATTCTCGGTCATGGAGAATGGTCCAGCAATATCTAAGGCGATCCTCTAAAATGGGCTACCAACGCTGTATTGCTTCATGGGAGCCTTCCTTTTTCGCTGAGGTCCATTACTCCTAGCACAGCTGGTACATTTCTTACACCAGTCCTTTACATCATCAGAACTGTTCATCCAATAAAACCTTTCCCGAACTCTCTGAAGGGTTTTCCTAACACCGAGATGTCCTCCTGATGGACTGTCGTGTAACTGACGAAGTACTTCGGATACTGTACTCCTTGGAATGACCAACTGTTTTCTGTTCTTGGAACCATCATCATTTTCAAGTACTCGTTTTAATAAGCCATCTTTCAGGATAAAGGAGTCCCACTGAGCCAAATACGACCTAAGTACTGGAGAAAGATTAGATACTTCTTGCCAAGTAGGTCGACGATTTTCCTCTTTCCATTGTCGCATCTTCTTTAAAACGGTATCGTTCTCTTGTTCTTCTCTAATTTTAGCAGGGGACCACATCGTTGACTACCGTTGTTCTTAGTAGTCCACTTTCTTTGGATTCCGCTTTCTTGCAGTGGGAGCACTCTGCTGGAAACGGTCTTCTAGAAAGGTAATCGGCATTTCTGCGGCTTATTCCGGCTCAAAGTTCGATCTTAAAGTCGTACTCTTGAAGTTGTTCAATCCATCGGGTGATTTGACCCTCCGGGTTTTTGAACTGCATCAACCACTTAAGGGCGGCATGATCGGTACGGATTAAAATTTTCCTTCCATATAGGTATTGGTAGAAGTATTCCACGCATTTCATAACTGCCAGAAGTTCTCTTTTCGTTTCTGTTTGCGATTCTTAAACTGTGACTGGTATAAATGCTAACAAGTGTTCGTGGCCATATCGCATATTCAATCACTTTTTGAGTTGTTCAAAATCATCAGTCTCTTCAACAGGTATAGTCTGAAGAACATCTAAAGCGTCTCCTCGAAGGGCGATTGTCAGATTCACTGCCTTTTCTCTCTCAGACCATTCGTTTGCTCTCGCAGCGGTCTTGAACTGTTTAAGGTAGTTGGTCCATGACATCTTTCCGTCGAAGGTTGGGGCTTTAATACGAGCAAAGTTTACAGCTCCTTCCAATTTTAACATTATTTTTTCCTCAACAGAAGTCATCTTATTTTTCAGAGAAGACATTATGTTTTCCAAGTCGGAAGAAATTTCATCTTTTAAAGAAGAGATATCAGAAGAAACTTTAGTTTCTAAAGAAGAGTTTTCGTTTTTCACAGAAGTCATATCAGAAGACGCCTTTTCTTCTAAGGAAGATATATCGGACGAAACTTTATTTTCTAAAGGAGAAATGTCGGAAGAAACTTTAGTTTCTAATGAGGCAATATAATTTTTTATGGAGGAAACATCTAAAGAAACTTTAGTTTCCATGGAAGAAATATCGGTTTTTAAAATAGACATTTTACTTTCCATATCGGAAGGAACTTTGGTTTCCATGAAAGATACTTTACTTTCCAAAGAAGAAATTATAGAAGACGCATCATCAGGAAATATATAAGTATCCGGATCCAAACCTTCACCTTCTAGTGCTTCTTTAAGCCGCTCTGCCAGCTCTGCTTTCTTTCCTGTCGTCTCCAGATCACGATCTTCTAATTCTCGACGCAATTCGGCCACTTTTAAATCACACAGTTTTTTAGCCATGATTGTCCACTATTTATTTATAGTTCCACTTCTAACACCAATGTGACGATAGTCTAATTTATTTATAGTTTATTTATTTAAAACACACTATTTACAATTTATTTATGACGTACAATTTAATTTATATAATACTTAGATACTAACTAACAATTCTAATTTATTTATTACACTTTAACTTTTCATTACAATGCTCTATACTAAACTAAACTGCCCGACGATGAGTCGGCTATTTATACCAAGTCCAACTCTGCTACGAGAAGTCTCTAGACGCTCCCGAAAATTCCATCTCTGACTCAACGGCACACTCCGCCCGTTTTACCCGTTTCTCGAGCATCAGCGGCATTCCCAGAATATTCCGTCACCTCGAGCATGAGTCGGCTGCCACAGACGTGAAGGCCGCTTGCTTAGACATAGTCGGCTTTAGGAATTTCATGACAATCTGTTTAAATCGTAGAGGGTATTTGACTGCTCAAATGTGGTCATATTTAAATACGAAAATAAAATACTCAAAATCAAAATGTGATGATTTTTAATAATTTTATTTTCGTTTAATAAGTTTTTGTTGAGATTTTTATTTGGATATTTTAGAACTTCCACACTCCCCTTTAGTTAAGTTCTTGTACTCCTAGAATAAACAATTAAAATTTAGTATAAATTTGTCCCGAATTCAAAGGGGTTCATAAGAGGTCTAGCATAAATAATTACGATTTTATCAATCATGGTCATTTAGAGGTTAATGTCAACTGATTAATAATTGTTTGTATTAATTATTACACCATTTGCTTTCAGTACAGTAATAGCATCATTAACAACCTATCGCTCAGTTAAACAAAGAAAAAATTTATAACCTCCATTACTAAAATGTTTCGATTGACTGTACTTTTATATTTTTTAGTTTACGTTTATTTGGGAACTTTGACTACTTTTGGGGTTGCAGGCAACAAAGAAAAACTAGTAACTGTAAAAGATAAATTCAAACTACCCTCTGATGATTTGATGCCGTTTGTGGGATGTAAGTTATTATGTTTTTTTTTTTAATATATTATTTGTGCATTTTAATGTTGATGAGTCAGCCAGGCAATGAATTGGGAAAAATTTTTGTTGTAGCCTCAGTTTCTCTAGTATCTATTTCTCAAATTCTGTCCAATTTGTCAAAAGTATTAGGTGTACTACACCTATTTGGTTCTTCCTTTTCTCATTTTACTTGTTTATTATATTTCTTATACCTAAAAAATATGTTGTTCTACATTTCTCCTAATTTTTTTACTTTACTTCTAAACCAATTTATAAAAATATCAGAGCATCTGATTATACCTACACACGAAGACTCGCAATCCAGTGGCGGTCATATAGGGTAGCCGTTTTCCCTGTAAATAGTTGGTAACACGTTTGCTTGACCTCGACCTACTAAGTGAAGCTATTTAAAAAATGGCGGGCTTTAAAATCATGGAGGTATAATAATAATGGAGATGCCATGAGGCAATTGTTTTGCATATGATACGTTTTATTAAAAATGACCCCACTGGGCGTGGCTTAAATGGTTGACTAAGCAGGGTCTTATTCAAATATAATTAAAGTCCGTAAATGACTTACTTATCTAAGATTTGTTTCAACATGATCGATTCGAAATTAATTTGATGACATTGCGCAATTATGACTTCTACACTATTTACTATTATTTATTAACCGTTTTCCGACAGGGCCAATACCAAGACCATAAAAGAGATTAATATTATTATATTGTTCTGTCTTCGCCGAAACCGTCCGATATATGACCTGTGTGATCGAAAATCAACGTTCGAATAACACTGTGCATCAGATTTGTTAATCTCTTTGTGCTTTAAAACTAAAACCCGAACTACGATTTTTCGTTCAAGGACTCTCTTGTCTTAATCAAAGCTGCCAATGTCAAAATCTGACAATGAGGAGAATTATGACATCAAATTACCAAACCAAAAACCAAACCACTACGTGAATTGTGAATAAATATATTTCAGTAAAAATACAGCCGAGTTTGTAGAAATGAATTAATTACTTTTAAATGTAAAACATGTAGGTCTTTCTGCTGCAGATGACATACATTAAAAATATGACTCGCTACAGTCAAAAGTTTAAAAAGACCAAAAATTCAACTAGGTATGACTTTATGGTTAAAAGTAGATGGAAGAAAATCATGATCAAAACTACTCTGTCAAAACCAATCGGAACTAAAAAGACTCAGATAATAGTTGTTAGTTTTATTTATGTTTGAAATAATTAATTATATAGGGTAGGTACATATATTACTAAAATTGCAAGCAGAACAGCATTCGTCTTAAATCTGACCCTAAACTCACTCTTATCAAAAAATTCTTCCTTGAAGTGAATAGAGCACAACATGCTATTCGGTTTAGGCTCAAATTGGTCTTTTCCCACAAATTTAGACCAAATTTTGAGATATTGTGGGTCTTTTGGAAACCTATAATAAAAAAGTTAAGTATTCTAACAAAAATTCTAAGTACACTCCTTCTACTTACTTATGGAAACTTATATTAGATATTTTCTTACGCTCTTACACTGAAGAGTTTTTACAATTAATTTTGGCACACTTAGTCATGATTTTTATACAAATTAATAAAAAAAAAACACTTATTAAGATAGAAATAACGTCGAAATATTTAAATTTGAACAAAGTTCTGACAGCTCTTTGACAACTATGACATGACCACTAAGAGAGGGGGAAGGGGTGTCGTTTTTTTTTGGCATGTCATCTCCATAGTATTCAACCTCATTGTTCAAAATGTATGAAATTTTTAGCATATTCAAGTAATATTTTCCTATTTTACAGCTTTTACTTACAATAATTAAAACAAACAATAAGTAAAATGCATTTTTATTGTAAGTAAATGCTGAAGACGGAACATGTCACTTGTTTGAAGTAAAAAAAAACATGTTTATTTTATTTATTATACAGGGTGTTTCAAAAAGATTGATCATAAATTATACCACATATTCTTGGGTCAAAAACAGGTCGATTAAAACGTACTTACCTATATACAAAGTGCACCCACAAATAGTTACTGGGTGTATAAGATAAAAATTTAAATGAATTTTTTTAACGTTGCTCTTAAACCGTTTGGCATTTTTTCATGAAATTTTATATGACGTGTTATAATACCATGACTAATAATACCAAAGAAGAGGCAATATTTTTTCTTGATTTTTGGAGGGGGTCACCGCTCTTTTCTCAACTAAACTTTTTTGTAGTATAAAATTTTTGTCTCTTAGTATTTGTTTGTAAAAAGTTTAGTTTAGACATTGAGATAGAATAAAGTAGAGACGACATAAATACTATTTTGCGATATGACAAATGGATGCACTTAGCGATGCTAAGAATGACAGAAAAATGTAACTAAAATGGCAACTTAAACAGTCGTACTTTGATTGATTTGAAGTCAAAAATTTTATATTGGAAGATTGTCGGAATGAACCTGTTTAACTAATGTTAAGAAAATATATTAAATATATTGTTAAAAAAGATTTCTCTTAACTCCAACAAATATTTTTTAATTAGGGTAAATGATTTTACCTGGGTAAATTAAAAGTAATTTTTGTCCTTTAAATAAAATCATCTTATTACTATGGTGCCAAAATCTTCTTTTCTCTACAAGATATCTCTTCAGAAAAATGTTTTTCATGTTCTGGAGATCTATCTTCAGAAGTACTAGCAATGGATGCTGAGGTGCTCGAAAGAAGTTTGATGTCATTAGGTGGTCGTAATAACACATTAGATAAAATTCGAATCTTCGCCGGGATTGAAGATTCTTCCTGAAACCGTCAGTAAGGTTTAGTTTTATCCAATTTTCTGACTTTCTTGCTAGGCTGTATCTAAATAATAGAATAAATTTATAAAAATATGAGACCAGAAATATATAATATTTCTGGAATTTTTTTTTAATGTTTAGCATAGTATTACACCATCTTTAGTGCTTATTGTTTACTTTGCCTTGACGAAAATCGTTAAATAAAAGGTCTTAAACTTTAAAATTTAAACAAATTAAAAATAAACTTTTTAAAAACTTATTTAAAATGGTGATTTCGCAAGGTGAGATTCTTCAATAGTTCAATATTGAAATAACTATGACAACCGATATTGGTGGACGTCTTTTACTTGACGATAAACATTTAAGATGGCTTAATGCCGAAAGCACTTTGCTATTTCAATAAAAAAATTGCACGAAATATCAGTTTTCTTTAGTGGTCTAAGCAAACGAGTTAACCAGTTTTGGTTCCTTTTAATCGTTTCATGTGACCGACCACATCTGATAAGAGAACTAAACTTTTACCTGTTTTAAACTTGGATTCACCAAAGACGGAATCGCATAATCTTCTAGATGAACAAAATGAACAGAATTTCTATCGAAACAGTTTTCTTCAAAATTTCTAGAGCATAGTACACTATATTTTGAAGGTTTCCATTCACCTCTATTTACAAATCCAATCCATGAATCCCGCGTTACAGAGTTCTTCGGAAATCTATAATTCAAGTATAAAGTTCTTTGAAAATCTATTGGAAAGTATTTGTATATTTAGCAATGTGAAAATTTAAAACTTATTCCTTAACTGTACATATAGCCCCAATGATTTATATGGGCATCACTACTGATTTAAAATTATCATTACATTTTTATCAGAATCTAAACTAGTATGATTGATATACTTATATTATTTGAAAAGTAAATTATGTTTAATAAACACAGAAACATTGTAACAAAAATCAAGAATACGGTCCTTATATTTATTAAGAATATGCCGAAGACTTATGTATGAAATGTAATTTCTGAAGTTTTTTTCTTATTAACGCTGTCATTGCTGCAACAGCTTCTTATGGCACATGATACCATTATTTAAAATTAAAATATACAACTTTTTATTAGATATAAATGTAGCTATTTAAAAAAAAGGCGTTTATTCTCACCAAAATATGAATCAAACTGACTTGGTCACGTTAGTTTGACACATGACGTAAAAATGAAATGCTAATGGAAAAGTGCGGACACTTTTAGTATGTCATAGCGTCTCCCCTTTATTCTATCTCAATGAGTTTAGACGATACAGCCATTTGAAATGACAACTTAGAAATATTTAATGGAAATTCTACGTATGAAAAATATCAAAATTAAGTTTATTTTTAAATTACAAACTAATGTCATCAAAATAAAAAAAATTAATTTAACAGGTGTTTAAAATTACATTGACCCCTGAGGCAGGCCATTGTTTACAGTTCTAGGACCATGTAATAATACATTATTGTGATCGCGGATATAAATTGTTCTATTTTTAAAAAGTTCTAAAATATTAGCACATACTTTGGATTGATTCCAATTTTGTTCATTTTTGAAAATAAAATATCAATATCCACCACGTCATAGGCCCCCTTAAGGTCAATAAATAAACTAAGTACATATTCATTTTTTGTAAAACTTAATTGAATATTAGATATTAGTTGTGTGACTGCATCGATTGTGCCTTGGCCTCGGCGAGAACCAAATTGAGAACTAGGTACCAATGAATTACTTTCTACAAAATGTTCCAATCTAAATTTTTTCATCCTTTCGAAGGTCTTAGTCAAACTGGACATGAGTGATATTGGCCTAAAATAAGAGCATGAATCAGGTTTTTTACCAGGTTTCAATATTAAACAAATTATGCTTTCCTTTAATTTACCCTGAAGTGATATATTATATAACATTTTGTACGTAAGGCTGTCAATGCCTGGTGCTATACTTCTAGAATTTTTAAGAGCTAAGTCTAATTCATTAATAGAAAAAGGATTAGCCAAATAATTAGATTTTGAATTGAAATTAATTTTTGGGCTGGTAGAGCATGGAAAAGGCGGGGTAGGTACAAAGGAAGGTGCAATTCTATTTAACATTTCATTGATAATGTTTTGAAGAATGTTTGTTTTTTTGGGATGAAAATGTTTGTTATTTATACATTTAACTTTACTCCAAATTTCAGTAAGAGGGGTGC